AAAGTACACGCCCAATTAGATGAGAGAAGAGTCCCCATCCCTTATCTCTGCTGCAAGAGGAAAGAAGGAATCTGCTACATGTTCGAGGGATCAATGCGATTCAAACACCAAACACCTCTCAAGCTATGTTCATTTCATTGTGCCATGCAATATGGACTCACACAAGAAAGTACTCAGAACATGTTCATGTCTGAACCTTACCATTATCTCAAAACATCTACCATTAGGAGGATTCAGCTCGGAGCCCTTCTCCAAATTCGTGTGAGGACAGATACAGGACAAATGCTGACTGTGTCTCTGAAGAGTGAACTGCTCATCTCAATGCTGCACTTGCCATTAGGGTTTCAATCGACAGGGCAGCTGACAGTCACTTGGTACTAACCTACTCTGTCTCCTGAAGCACTGTAAAACAGTTAAAATGCTTTAGCTCAAATGTAAACAGCAAAAGATTAATGCAATACATGCACACTTCCGAATCTGTGGTGCAACACTATTTATCAGTTATTTGATAACACTTATCAAATACACACAGGGAAACCCATAAAATTATGTATTCATGGCATTTCCCACAACTATTTGCAGCTTCCAAACTGTGAGTTACACATTTCAAGCAAGTTCAACCCTTAGGTAACAATGCATGAAAATACTGTTGACTGTTAATGGGCTCTGTTTCTTTGTGGAAAATTGGTGAAATTTTTGTGAAGTGAGGAAAGCTAGGCAACCTGCACTCGCTAAGGAACACCCAAATGCTACAGTGCTAACTCTGAATGCTCTAATTTCTTCTAAACGTTTCACTCATCTCTAAGCTCATCTAAATTTGCTTTTAGACAAACAGGATGTCTACTTGATTCAGCCCAAAACAGCAGTGATATTGTGTATCTTTACAGAAAGATAACTATGTATATACACGCATACACACAAAGTAAATTAGCACTAAGTGCCAATTTGTATAAACGAAGGGAAATCAGCAGTCAGGAAGATGAGGCCAGACATTCAACTGCTGCGTGCCGACTGCTTTCTGCTAACATGGAACAGGGAAACTTCACACAACCAACCAGGAGATGAACAGTCAGTGTAACACTGACAGACACTGCTGCACAGAGGCACATTGCACCACAGCTCTGCATTCAGAGGACGACCGTATTTAACACAATTAAAATAATTGCTCCAGTCTAGTCAGCCCAGTTAGGTCTCCATTGAAGTTAATTAGAAAAAGCCAGTAAAATACTTTGAACGTGCAAATGCTAAATGTTAAATACTTCCATTATTAATATATTCTCACAAATGCTGCAATGGTAGGCAGGTGCAGGGTTCCTGGAACGCTGCAGTGTTATAACATGAAAAGTAAAGCCAGTGTTTTTCCAACACTAGTTTTAACACAGTACAAGAATTTGTTCTACGAACCAAGCTTTTGCCTCTGAAATACACACAAGCTCAGGCCCTTTTACCACCAAGGAAGTATTTTCTGTGATTCAACACAAACTAGAACCCCACGTTCATCTCAAATCATCTAATACATAAACACATAAAGACAGGTTACTAATGGAAAAAAAAAAAGGGGAATAAAAACTGCATGAAGGAAATACAAGGAGCAGGACATAACTGCATGCTGTAGTCTAAACTTCTGGAAGAGAATTAGAGCCGTGCATCCTGCCAGGACTGTCATGCAGAGTTTCAAATCCCAGCTTGCTACGAGAGCTTTAGGCAAATACCCAAAAAAGATAAGAAGGTAATGACTGAAGGCATGAAGTAGAGAGAGGGAAACAAAACATTCTGAATTCAAAAAGGGTAAAAGCACTGGGTCATACTTAGTCCTGGGAAACAAAGACTTAACCGTACACAACTATGTAAGAGATCATAAAAGAGAGCAACAACTGATTATTCTTCCTAGTCATAGATGGAGAAAAAAATAACGAGATTAAGCCATAAAAGGGAAAATGGAAGATGAGTACTGAGAACCTTTATAACTCAAAGAGTGGAACAAGTAGCCCAGAGGCTGTAGAATACACATCACTGAGGATAATTCAGGCTTAAGTAAACACCCATCTGTTATGGAATATTCTGTTATAATCGCTCCTGCTATCATGCAAGGAGGTGGAAAGAGTTGCACCAAAGTCTGGGCATTGGATACCTACAATTCATTTATTTCAGGTTTCTGAAACATTTATTTGAAACAACAAACATCTGTTTCTTAATCCCCCAATTAACACAGTTTCCAGCCCGAAGGAATTAACCACAAAATTCATGAAAAACAGTTTATTTGCTAGCAATGGTGTAAAACAAATTGCCTACAAACTTTTACATGGCTAATAGAGCAGTTTAATTGTGCGGTTTTTTTTTCTTTTTCCCTTTGAGGAGCGCATTTTAATTCAAAAAATATATATAAATAAAAATAAAAATAGGAAGTCATCCCTGAGCAGAGACCTTTGCAGCAGTGTCTCAGCAGAGAATTACACAGTACTACAAACTTAGGCTCTCATTCATGATACTGACCTCCTCTGAAGAGCACTCTGAGATCTAACGATGAAAAGGACTGTAAAAAGCACTAGATGTTATCATTAGTATTCAGGAGGATGGAATTCTGTGGCTTGGTTGAATTCAAAGGGACCTGCTGGTGCTTATGAAAGCTGACATTTTAAACAAGGAAATAGCTCTGACAGTAACGTTAATGTGGGCTGACCAGGATGGGGTGAGGCCACACTTTTCTGCCAACATTTCCCAGCAGGTTGCGCTGCAGACTTATTCAGGACCATGGAACCAATTTAATGCCTGCTCACACATTTTACCATTTTCACAATACAGTATTTTAATCTGATTCCAGTCACACAAGAACTGTGTAGTGTCTAAAACAGCATCCTGTTCAAGAAAATACGCATTACTGCTTGCATCCTCAGACCTCTATGCATTCTTGCGCCCCTGTTGCTTCTGCCCATGCTAAAAGTGATTTCCTGCCTACAGTTGGCCACCAGAAGTTGGAAGTTGCTTATTCCAAACACTGTTACCACCTCTGACACCCTTGCAACCCGATGGATTTGCACCATGCTGCTTCAGCTGCTTTGGAAAAACTAAATGGATTAGAAAGTCAATCACCAAATGTTCTAGTACTCTGGCTCTAAAGATGTCTCTGATTGTAGGAGTGGAACTATTTCATCAGTTTATCTGGCTGGCTTTGCCACTAGATGAATTTTAAGTAATCCTTTATTCTCACAAAACAGACTCTCAGTGAGTAACCAAAAAACACATGCATTAAGATTCCATCCAGCAATACAGACTCCCAATAATAGCTCTAGCATCTCCACAAGCTTGAGGCTGTTTAATTGAACACCATAATTTACCTCAAGGTTAGCATCATTTGGACAGATTTTGAAAACATATTTTTGTTACTGGAGAAATGTGTTCTGTACACATTTGCTGTGGTCAGCCTTCTTTTCCAACCTAATGATTTGACCTTCTGTTCTCTGTGACTAGTACTGAGACATCAATTAGTAAAGCAAAGCACTTTATCATTCCCCCTCATACTCCTTAAGGTCTCTTTAAATAATATTTCATCATCAGAACACTACAAGTTGTTAGAATCTTTCCTCTTCCATATACAGTATAATAACATATACATATAATTAATACAACTCAGATTTCTGCACTTTCATGTTGCTTTTTTTGTTGTTGATGCTGTTACTTTGCAGCTGCTCCAACCTTTATAGATCTAACTATTAGTTCTACCTGATAACACGGAACACAGCATTAAGAGAAAGGACCATACATATCTCTATCTACTTTGTTTTGGGAAAAACAATTCTGAAAGCCTTGTTAAGAAACATGCTGTACTATTCTGGGGTTTGTTTGCCATTCCAGGCCGTTGATTGTCTATCAATTTCTCCACGGATCCAGCATCTTCAGATGATAAAACACTTTCAGATGGAAGGCAGGAAGATAGATTTTCCTTCACATTCAGAGTCAGCAAAGTACTGAACTTTTCCAGTACAAGCCCTCCCGTTAATTCCTTGCCTTCCAGATGGCATCACAGCTATCTACGTTCCTATTCCTTCAGATCATTGTGAGATCTGTAAATTCAAATATCTGCCATGTCTCTCTAGTTAGGTCTACTACAAGCAGGGAGTGTGACACACAAGAGCTGAAGCTGAGGAGCTGGAGAAATAAAACTGCCCTTATGAAAAAGTCAACACATTCAGAATGATGAAATGCATTTGTACAGACAAGACCAGAGAAGTAACTTTCAGAATTAGCTTTCGGGATACCAGAGCCAAAACAAGTAGTCCCACGTGTCACACTTTGAAAGTTTCTGTCACTAACAGCTTCCAATTTAGGCTATAATTAAAACAAACAAACAAAAAAACAAGCAGTTATCTTGTGGTTTTGTTTCTATTAACAGATTTAACATGCAGGGACGAACACTAGCCTGTCTATCCATGGCTACAGCAGGAAACTATTCTTACATCAGCTCTGCCTGCTTCCCTTAACAGACACCTAGCAATTTCACGTTTCTTAGCCCAATAATTTACAGGCATAAAAATACCCCTGCAACAACACAAGATGTTAATTCTGCCAAGTAGTTCATGCTTGTCAGAGTGCAATCAATTAACTGGAACAAATACTTCATGACTGCAGTCAAGTTGGCTGGCCAGTTCTGTTTGCCATTGTGTCAATTGCTTTAGAGCAGGGCCTTCAGCTATTTCAATTGCCAAAAAGCACAAACTATGGCTTTTAGAAAAATTTAGTGCCTTTTCTTAAAACGTGCTTTACTTCAAGGTGAACGAAGCATTCCGTAGAATCTATGCCATCTATACACCAACAATATAATGTTAATTTCCAGTAAGAAATAAAACCATAGGAAATTTTCATTACTGTGAGCTCTTCAGAGAATGCTGAAAAGACTACAGTATTATTATATGTTCCCAATGTATGTCAGTAATCCGTACAGGGCTAACAGCTGATCCTCACAAAGAGTAATACCTCTGCTGCTGCAGAGGCTTCTTACTTACCAGTTGGGACTGCAGGATCCATTGTTGGCTTTTCCCAGGTATTGATCTGCTCCCAGGTAAATCCATTGGTTCCCAAGGCCACACTATAACCACAATTACTGTAGTGCTCATCAAAGGAACAACCACCTAGAAACAAGAAAAATGCATGCATTCCTGCATTAATTACATATAATCATTATACTAAAATCATTTAATTTCTCATTCCTAGGTTTACAGAGGAACTTGGAAAAAAAAAAATCCTGCATATTATATTTCAGAGAGCAGAGAAGATATCCAGAAAATATTTTGAATTTTCAACTTTCTGTATCTCTTAGAAGTCTTTCTTCTCTCATTGCTACTCTTCTCCTCTATCAGCTCCCTTTGTTTCAACCTATTTGCTTAACATTTTCACAGACAATTGCACATAATAAGCACGTGCATTTGGGTCCCAGTGCTGATATTTACAGAAACCTCTAGGTCAGATATTTTTTTAAAAAAAAAAAAAAAGAGGGAGAAAGAACCCAAATGAATGACCAAAAACCCAAATGATTAACTATCACCTGGCAGCTGTCTGAACACTTATGAATGAAGAAAAAAATATATCTCAATATGGACGTGTGTGAGGCAAACCAATTCAACTAGTTTAGTCTTCATTTAGTGTTAATAGATTGTTACCACACTGCTGAACCACCCTTCCATTGCCTCATTCCTCACATCCACCCAACTTGGTTTGCCAAACATATTGCAGTACTGGATCTATTACATCAAGTAGATTGGGTGCTTGGGTTTTGACCTTAATTATGACAACAGTGTCACTGCCCTGCTTTTGTTTTCTCTTACAGAAGCAAGGAGAAATTTCTCTGCAGTTACTAGTACTCCAAAGTCAGCTGGACATATCTAACACTTCTGGAGCTGCAAGGACTGAGCAGTGCTCAGGGCTACATGATCTTGCCTTTCCAGCCAAACTGCCAATTGCTCCTGACACGAATCAGAGTTATATGCAGAGAGACGTTCCCAGCTCTTTACCTTCCCACAGGCTGCATTCTCTACACATGCACAGTAAATAGCAAGTACACAAGTGGTTTCCACTCAATAACAGTTACCCAACAGTGGATCATTTAGGCATTCTTTAGTTTTCTGTGTATATCTTTTCCCTCTGGCTCCCAACAAAACCCAAACCCATCTCAGTTCCTATGAAATTCCTCACAAAACCCTATTCTGCTCAAGGATTTAATGTGCATTCCAACCACAACTGGTTTTCTAAAAACTCCCGTGAAACTTCACACAAATTATTCCTATTTAAGCATATAAGCTTGAAGGATTTGTTGGATAGAGCACCTGACCATACTCGGTGCTGTTAAAGAAAAATTTAAAGATTAAGCTTGTCCTAAAAGAAAATATTGTCATGTTGTGTAATTTTAGTATAAACAGTTCTGAGTACAGCAGATTTCACGACCCTGCCAGCCTTGCCTGCTTCAGTAGAGACCTTGCAAATGTATTTTCTACAAATTTTAAAAGTATTTTTTGCTTTAAATTTACAGCGCTCGTGAGGCTTTCAGAGCTGTCAAAGTGAGCAGGACTGCACTTCAGCTGTTTCCCTAAAGTTTTAATTTGATTTAGGTGAAAGAGTTCAAGTTTAAAATATTAAATGTGCTCATTAAAATGTCTAACGAAAAACAGGTGTTCTGGATTGCCTGTGAGGAGCATGCAATGCAACTGAAAGTCACCTTTTTCGTAGTGAGCTGCTACGAGAGATGATATCAAATACTCTGCTCTCAGTCTCCACGCAGGGCATTCTAGTCTTGATAGATTCACTCTAGCAGGAGGACTTCAGATGTATTCCATTTACACACTACCTCTCTACAGCACACTACAGAGCACAACAAGCAGTGCTGTTGTCTCAGCTACTTCTTGGAAATAAATACTGTGATCAAGCCAGACAATTGCATGAGGACTCGTGTACAGAGAAAATTACGCAGGTGCTGATATAAAGTCTCAGAAGCAAAATGAGACAACAAAACACAGGGTAGCGGTCCTTATTTAACAGGGAATGTAATTGCTGATGTATATACAATTAGCTAAATAGGTTGTTTTATGTACGCAGAGGCAGGTGAAGTTGGAGAACAAGCTGAACAAGGGTAGTGAGAGCTTCCAGAAATTAATTGGGAGTTTCCACTGATAAGAGACAACACCTTAGGAAGCTTGAAAGCGTTTTGTGTGACATTCAAGACTAACCCTTGTAGTAAGATTGGATAAGAAAGGATAAACTGTGGAGAGCCTTAAAAGCAGCTGCAACACATCTACATTTCTAAAGAAAGAAAAGTTAGAGTAGGAACCACCAAATGCAAAGTGACAAGGCAATAAACCAGATGGATTAATTTACTGGAAGCAATAGAATTGGAATTTGGAGAGGTGAATTTGCAGGAAATGAGGAGAGGGAAAAAAACATTGGAGTCGATTCTCAAGGCTTGGATAAGCAGTGGCTGCTCAGGGAGCACAGAACGGCTCAGTCTGGGTGATCAAGGAGAGGAAAGCACCTGTCAGCTTTTTGCTAGAGAGTGACAAAAGAGACAAGAACTAAGAGTGGATCCAGGTGGGACACAGCCATGATCGCTTGTGAGCAAGAAAGCCATCAACTCTGTTATCACCATTAAAATACGGCATATACCATATTATTAAACAGGAAAGACTTCAGTAAGTGCAGGCAAAGAATCACACAACTTGAAATACTGCAGAATTTTAAGTGCTTTTTGCTCATATTTACAATACACATTGCTGATGGCCTTAGTTCGCAGAAGACAAACATGGCAACGCAACGTGGCTGCAACAGGCAACCAAAAGCAGCCTTCCATACCCCACCCTGCTCTACCTGAGAAATCCAACATCCACTCGTGCTCTTCTTCTCTACTGACCCTGGTGTGCACAGCACTGTTTCTCACGTTTTTGCCCTTTCTCCAACAATCTGTGCCCTGCAGAAGCAACCGTGCCCAGCCCAGCACAGCCCTGCCTTCTCCTCCCAGAGGTGCCCCGCTGCCAGACACCCACTGCTGATCTTTTAAGCACCAAACTCTGCTTTAAACCATACGTATGGCCCCCAGGTCAAATGGGAGCATTCCCCTCACCTCCCTGAAGCTGTTTTGGGCAGTTGCAGACCCGTCTGTGCCTCCAGCACTCAGCAGCACCCTGCTGCCTGTGGCACCCTGCCCAGGCTGCAGCAGGGTCTGAGTACACACAAGTGTGTGTGTGTGTGTGTGTGTATGTGGACAATAAGCTCCCAAACAAGCTGAAGGCATGTGTGCTGTTTAACTGCTCTTGCACAGGTGCTAACCTGCCAGGACGGAGCCATCCCTTTTGCCACACAAGCACCTTGCCACCAGATCCTTGGAAATTCAATTACTCCCCACTACTTAATTTCATTCTAAACAAAAATGTAATTATGGGACTGTAAATACCCGCTTTAGTAAGGATAGCGATGACTCCAAAACAGTACAGCAAGCTAAAACCTGCAGTTGAGTTCCTTTCACAAATAGCAGCACAAGCTTAATATTTACTGTTTCCTAAGACACCACATATATGGATACCTAAAAGCTTCAGCTATGCAGGAACATAACAAGGGAAGAAAAACCACAGAGATAAGGTCCATCTTAATACAAAATCATCCATCGCTGAAACATAACTGCTTGACACAGAACAGGGATATTCATTAACAGAGAGAAAATAATTCACAACAAAAGATATCAGGCTGTAAATTTAGATACTAGGTTTGCACGTCACAGTTCTACCCACAGCATCACAAAGCAGCTTAGAGCAAAAGTAAAGCATTTGCATGCCAACCAAAATGGAGTTTTGGTGCCTTCATTAATTATTAAGAGGGCTAAGGATTTCAGGATGCAAACTAGAATCTTTCCATTAATCAGCTAAAAATTAAGTGAAGAATACCATTGCTAAGTAGGGCAAGAGGAAAGGAAATTGAGATGACTCTGACACTGCTAAGATAATGCATGCGGTGTTGACCATCTCTTTTCACAAAATGAAAGCCAAACAAGGATGAAGTCGTTCCCTCCCTAAAAAGGGTCATATTGAAGCAAATAACAGCTCACACAGGACAGATAAAATATCCCTTGTTTTACACTGCAGGCTTGTAACAATGCCACTGCTCATCTGAGTGATGCTAATTAATCTTGAGCAGACCTATCATCAGTTACTGAGTCTTGCCCCCGGATTAAATGTAAACCAGCCTTGCATAAATTGAATGCCTCCTTTGAATATATAATTGAATTTGCAGAAGTGTGCGCCAGGGGGGTGTTTAAATAAGTGCACAAATATGATAAAAAGGACTTCACGCCATTATATCTAATTCAGTAAGCAAAAATAATGGCAGGGCACGTTCCAATTAGTGTTTGATTTATTTATTTTAACAAATCCAATTAGTAGAATGTTTTATAAAGTCATCCAATGTCAAACTCTCACAGACTCACTAGATAAAAAACAATCCCTTCTAAAGAGGGATAAAGAAATGTACTAATGGGAGAAGCCCCATTGGTTATCCTGTGTTTTTAGATACAGACAGAAAATAACACATCCTCAGTTTGATCAGGCATTTACAACATTCTCAGGGTGGGGAGGGGGGAACAGAGCAAGAACCTCAACAGTTCCATTTGTCCTCTTCCAGGCCTTTACTTTTGGGATAGAAATTATAACAGCACACATAATTCCAACCAATGCTTTTTCCCTGGAATACCTTTTCTGGAAATGCGTTGAAATCTATTTATTTAGTTCAGAACCTCATAGCCTAACAAAATATGAAGAGAGTACAGGAAGAAACAAATGGTCATAGAATGAGATAGTGCTTATGAATTGAAAACTCCAGAAATAAAAGCAAAACCAAACGCTCTCTGATCAATAATTTTTGTCTGTACTTCACTGAAAGAGCTGCATTTGGCTCCTTAGGAAAACAATTTATTCTACACGATTTGTCTTACAAGAATCCATTTATAACAAATTTTTCAGAATGCAGACTTCATGTAGGATAACCTTGAAAAAATTTGTTCCATGTTGTTACTGGGAAGGAGAGGAGAATAAGCATGCATTTCAACTTTGTGTTGAGTCACTTCATTTATGTCAGGGTAAATCTTTTCAAGGGCTAT